AAAAAAAAAAAAAAAAAAAGAAAAAAAAAAAAGAAAAGTAAAATATTTTTTATTCTTGAAAGATAATCAATAATTATTTTTAATGGAAAACATGTATTTTTAGAGAGGTGATACAGCATTATGGAAATATATGTGTTATATGTTATATAATATATATTATATAATATACATATTATATATATATTTTTTTTATTTATTTAATTAATTTTGGTACCAGGAATCAAACTCAGGTCCTTGCTGTTACAAGGCAGTCGCCAGAACCACTTAGCTAAATCTCTGACTGTAATTTACATGTATATGGAATAAATTAGTGAATGGTTTAAATTCCACCAGTTTCTTTAAGACCTGTGTGTTTTATTAGTATTTAGTGAACTTTCATTACTCAATCTGTGACTAATTTTGGAAGCAAGAGTGCAAAATGGGAATATCTGCAAAATAGTGTATTTGTTTACATTTTTATCACTTACTGTATCAATGAATGATATTATTTAAAGTTCTTATAAGAAAGTGATAAAATTGTTTTAAATGTACTTTACCATGAATACAATAGAATATTACTATCTACTTATTGCTAAAGGAAACAAATAGGCATATTAAGTTAATATGTATTGACTGAACTTATTCATAAATATGAAATTTTATTCAGTAATGTACCATGATGATGTAGGAAAGAAATAATTGTAAAACTTATAGATATGCATATTGAAGATATACTCCTAAGTGAAATAAATAAGGCACACATATGTAAATACCAAATAGTTTCTCTGGTGTGAATAATCTGCAATAATACAGAAGATCCTAATAAGATGACTGACATTGAGAAATAGGAAGAAAGGAGCTAAAGGTGTAGGGAAGGTGGGATGGGTAGGGGAAGGGCAATAAGGGAAAAGAAAAGAATGTGAGAGAATGAAAAGATGGAAATAAAGTGTTTGTAGATGGGGAGGGGAGGAGGGGGTGAAGGGAGGGCAGGGACAAGGGGAAAAAACAAGAACCAAGACTTGTCATGTGGAGGTACAAGGTCCCAACAATGAATGTAACTGTACTGTATCCCTAAAATGTACCAATAAACTCAATTAAAGCTGAAAAAAGTTATAGATATGCATATTTTAATTACTTTTACAGTTTTATTTCTCTTTGGAACATTACTTCTATAAATAATGATATGCTTTTGTAGGATTTAGATTACAAAGATTTTTCTTCAGTTGAAGAAAGTGCTAGTCACCATGACAATAATATACAAATATTTATAAATGTTTAAATTCCCGGAATAGGGGAATTGTCTAATGATAGGCATTCTGACAGCTGTTTAGCTTCTGTCTTTCTTTGTCATGGTGATTCACGTAAGAGCACTCTAATGAAAGTGTGCATTGATAGAGACAGAATGACAAGCAGAAAGCCTTTCTCTCAAGTGAAGTGATGAGCACAGTGCTGGTGCCAACTTTGTACAACGCCGTGCGAGCTCCTGACACGGTGTGCATGTGCTGCACAGCTGCTGGGAGGCAAGGACCAAAAGCAGAACACAGAATGTCGTCCACATCAAACTGCAGCAGAGTAGATATATGCCCATCTGTCAAAGCCGGATTGAATTCTGTATGTTCTCATTTGCTTTATTTACACATTCTGGTAAAATGAAATGGGAGAAATTAACCACTTTAATCATTTGTACTGGTCAGTTTTCTCATTGTCTGACACTGAACATTTAATGCTGGAGAAGTTTATCTGGCTCATGGTTTCCAAGGGTCCGATCCATAGTCAACTGGGTCCAAAGCAGAAACATCCTGAAGGAATGGCCTGGAGGGGAAATGCTGCTTACCTCCTGATGACCATAAACCGGAGAGGTGGTCATTAGGTTCCCAAGCGAAAGGCATAGGTACCAAATTTAGTGCCCAAAGTCATTCTGAGATGATTCACCAAGACACACTGAGAACTGTGCTTTAATAATTCCTCAGAATGCTCCTAAGCCAATCAAGTTGACAATTTCACTTAATCACAATTTAGCCGAATCGCATTCCACACTTGTCAATTTGATACCCAAACAGAATTACTTAACACATTCCCACTGGCTTGAACTACCAGAGCTGCCCAGCAGTGAGACATACAGATTACAGCTGCATCACAGACATATTAAATCATACTTAATTTCCAAATAAACACAATAATAAATTAATAATCTCACATAACATATATAACTCTTATGTGTACAACCCAAAATACAATAATCCCTTTTCCAATATCTTAACAATTCTAGCATTTCTCAAAGAAGAGTTAAGGCACTATCTGTGAATGCCTGTAAAATTCAAAATGCAAATTACCTACTCCCCAAATGCCTTATCCCGGACTACACTGCCATGGTAAAAGGGAGGAATAGAGGAATAGAAAAAAATACAACCAAGCAGCACTGAAGCCAGCAGGGCAAAAACTCAGTCCTAGAGCTCCGGGTCCTGTGCTAGGGCGCATGGTGATGGGATGTGAACTCTGAAGGCCTTGGATGGCCTCAGACACACACACTTCTTGGTTACTCCCCATGGGGCCTCTCTCTTAGTCTGGCTGTCCTTATGGCCTGCAGTTTTCCTTGGAAGGTCTTCCTGGGGTCTCCACTGCACCTTTGGCTCCTTCCCTACAACATCACACACTGCTTTTGTAGAGTGCTTGCCTGGCCACCCAAGGCTTCCTGTAAAGTCTGGGTGGAAGCCACCATCGTCCCACAAATCACACTGCACATGTATTAACCACCAGCGTCTCGTGAAGGATATCAGTCTCCCACCAGGTCCAACAGCAGCTAGGGCCACAACAACCATCAGTGGCTTCTGAGTGTGTGGATGTCAGAGCTCAGTAAAATGGATCACAAGGAATGAATTCCCTAGACATTGTGGCGCTAAAGACCCAGGTGCTGTCTTCTCAAAGTTGTTTGGATCATTGTATCTTTAATCCTACAACGAATAGAGTCTTTCTGATCTGTGAGATACCCTTAGGCATCTTTCTTTTTGTCCATGCTCAAAGTTGTATGGTGTCTTCTTAATGGTGCTAATGTCTTTAACAACCACTCCTATCTTGAATCCCTTCTGGATCACAATTTAAATTTCCCAAATCCTTCCACTCTGCATTTTGGCTGCTAGTTCTCCTTGAAAATCTGTCTAAAAGCCACCAGATATACCTGTGCCACAGCCTGAACTCGGAGGTGCGTTGAAGTTTTTACCCACATATCAATTAATCCACTGCTTTTGATTTTAGCCTCCTACAAACTCAGGACGTGAGCAAAATTAGACATGTGCAGATGTTTTTTTCTTTTCCAGAGTGTAATATGCATGGTCTCTAGTCCAATAGTCCCCAACTGAAGCACGATTCTAGCCTCACTGTACACATTCTTATCGGCACCTGCTTTTCTGAGCTGTAACAAAAATTGCTTATCAACTTCTGTTTAAAGCCGTGTATGGCTTCTCTGCTCCTTATCTCTAATCCTTTCCAAACTCTTAGCAACAACACATTCCCCAGCTTATATACTACATTGTCAGACAGAAACACAAGGACCCCACTTTTCTTCTGCCATTTTTCTGAATTATTCCGATCTCCCATTGTTGGGATGTGATCCTACCCAACACCCACAACTTAATAAGAGAGAAGTGTACTCGACTCACAGTTTCAGGAGCCCATGGTGGGCAGGCTGCATGGCAGGAGCGCTCTTGTGAGAAGACATGGAGCGTGGAGAAAGCCACTCATCTCACTGTGCTGGGAACAGTGGTTGTAAATAAGTAAGAACTAGAGCAAGACCACACAGTCAGTCCTCCGTGACCCGCTCGTGTCCCACACCCACCTGTGTGCTACATTCATTCCCTGGGCAGCTTCCAAGCAAGTAAAGTTGGTGATGAATCCCAAGTATCACAGCATTTTTCAAATGTATGAAGTGCCAGCTCAGTGTTGCATAGTTATCATCACCATCTGTCCCTAGAGCTCTTTATATCTACCCTAATCAGATCTCTGTCTCCATTCAATACTCAATCTTCACGCCCCTCCCCTCAGCCCCAGGCAACCAACATTCTACTTCAATCTTTATGACTTAGACTACTTTAGGGACTCCATGTGCTTAGAGTAACACAGTATCTATCCTTTTGTGACTGTCTTACATTACTTAGCATAGATGTCTTGATTCCCCCACATAGCACTGGGCAGATTTCTCTTTATTTATGAAACTGAGTATTCTGTTGCTATGTATAGATCGATGTTTTCTTTCCACTCATTTGTCGATATGTACTTGATTGGATTGAACCTTTTTGCTATTGTAAACATTAGCATAAATACAAGTAGGGAGTTATAGCCTCAAATTCTTGATTTCAATTCTTTTGCATATAGACCTAGAAGGAGAATTGATGGGGCATATAATGATTTTGTTTTTAATTATTTTGAGGTGCACGTTGTATATATAGCACAGTGGTAGACACATGTGGTTAGCTTGCTTAAAATTTGGGGCTCTATACCCAGGAGCAAGATAAATAAATGTATGTCTAAATAAATGAATATTTTACACTCCCTCCAACAGTGAACATAAATTCCACTTTTTCCGCATCATTTTCCATAGTAGTCGACTTTCTCATCAGTGGGATACAATAGCAAATATGTACAACTGAACGGTGGAAAGGCTGACCTTGGCTCTTGTTTTCAAGGGACTCAGTCGCTGCACAGGTCCTTCATGGCTGAAATATCTTTGTGGAATGGCATGGCTTAGCAAGGCTGTTAGTTCAGGGTGAGTGGGAAGCAGGAGGGAGAGGACAGGGACCAGTGGCCCTGCCAGTGACCCACCCAGACTCCCAGAAATATACTCCACTAATGC